TGGCAATCAACTCCATGGTGGCATCTGCCCTGAGCAGCTGAATAGCTGCTTTAGGGATGTGGTCTGCTTCTTGTATATAACAAGAAGCTTCGGGATTGGTCTTTAGCTTTTTGGCACACTTGAATACTGCAGGTAGCCAAGGCGTTGTTCAGTAGCCTGTCACACCCTGCCGATCTTGGGACTTCATCTGGACTTGAATTAGCAGCTGCCTGAGTGAAGAAATGCCATGAAGCTCAAGGTTGAAGGGCTTTCACCCAGCCCCTGGAGCCTGGCATTTTGAACTTGAATTTAAATCCTCCAAAATTGTAAGAGAAGAAACTCCTGTTTGTTCAAGCCATCCCATTTCTGGTATGTATTTCTGTTAAAGTAGCACTAGGTAGCCAAAACATATCCCATATACATAACCCATTTAAGGAAAAAATCTTTATTTTTCTATTTATGTGTCATCCATTATTATTAATTTCTGAATGGCTTTTTTCTTTTCTTTTATTCCTAATTTTTATTTGTGTGAAATTTCAGTCCCTTTAAAATCACCAGTTCTTGATTGCTCAACCCTGCAATACATAGACAGGAGTTATATTAATAACTGCTCAAAGGTGCAATGCCCTGATACTGCTATTCATGCTGCTGTCTGACAAAAAAGCTTATTTATTCTGTCCAAGCACCCATGAGACATGAAAACTATTCTTTGTTCGGACTCACAGTGGATAGTCATTTTAAAACTTCAATTACTATTTCATCATGTTCCCTCCATTTTTGTTTCTAGCACCACAGCCAGTAATTTCTAATAGCAAAATATACTTTATAAACCATACATGACTCACATACAAAAAGAAAATAAAGCTATGCATAAATGATTAATATCTGCAGAAAAGATGCAAAATTTAGATGAAATAATATCAAATTCTACTTTTATTTAATACCTCCCAGATAATGATTGTTGAATGAGTGTGTCTGTGTGTATATGTGAATTCACCATCAATCTTGGACCCCAAAAAACAATCACACATTGCTATTCAACAAATATATTTTGAGATTCAATTCAGTTGAGAGCTGTTCTTGGTGATGTAGGACTTATGAAAATACAACAAAACAATATAACAAATTATTTCTGCCTTTGAAGAATTCATAATCTTCAGAAATATCATTCACTCTTTCTATCAGACTGAGAGTCTTGAATGGAAAAAAGGAAAAGAATGGGTTTATAGTGTTTATTTTACTTTATGTAGATCTTAAATTCTATCATCTGGCTATAACTTTTCTTCTTGTGTGAGATTTTGTTCCCACATTAAATTAATGTCTTTTTCTTTAATCTGTCCTTTATTTTCTCTCTCTTTTTTTGGCCATCAAAAAGGCACACATATAATTGAAACAGGATACTTAGATTCTATCATTTCTGATCCATGATTTTCACTGTACTGTCCCTTGAAGTTAAAATCTCATCTTGAGTCTATGTTTATATGAATGATCAGAATTCGCAGGTGTATAGTAGAGCTGACAAGGGGCAAGGTTGTGGTCACTGCCTGGTCACAACCAGCCACCCAGAGGGACTGAGTGGGTGAACCTGCGGGCTTGGGACCATAGTCTCAGGGGACATCAAGCTCAATTGGCATAACATACTATATAAAACATTGTTCCGCCTCCTACTTTGGCGAGTTGTGACTGAGATCTTAAAAGCTAGCAAACTGCCATCTAGATGCAACGATGGGTCTCTCCTCGTCAAGAGCAAAGAAGAAAGAAGAAAACCAAAATTAATGGAAACAATTAGTTCTAGCGACTGGTACACCATCTGATCTGCA